GAACTTTGGTTGGATTTTTTTTCCCCTAAATTAGCTTAGCCATAGTGATAGTATGGATTCCCATTTCTATATTTGATGGTTTCTTTAGTATGCAGTTTTTAAACCGAGAATAGGACAGTTAAAAGCAAAAATTTCACTCTAGCTTCCTCTGGCTATAATATCTAAGGCAGAGGACCCTCTTTGAAGCAATAAAGCATTTCAGCACAGCGTGAAAGGCACCATGTGCAGAGGGAGATGGTGCAACGCACCCTCCGCTCCTCCTCAGCTGCTCCCAAAACACAGGGCAGAAGGAAGGAAGAGCCCAAGCTATTCTCTCTTAATCAAGTTTGGCATGAAGGACATGTCATACCAAAAGAATCATCAGAGACAACTCTTGCCCTTTCCTCCTCCTAAATTACACTTTCCCTTATGTTTTATAAACCAAGATATTCTGGGGTGCTTTTTGAATGGAAGAGTACAAAATGTTGTTCTATTCTTCAGCTTTTATTGACGATTTTATCCCTTTGGAACAAAGGATTAATTTAGTTTTTCCTATTAATAGACACATTTCTACAGCGCTTGCACAAGTGTGGAAAATGGGCACCACAGCATTATTTTGCAGTCTGCTTACTCAATTATTGCCGTACCAAACATGCTATTTCAGAAACGTCTTTCAAAGTAGGTCAAGACAAAACTAAATAAGCAAGTGATCTCTGTGTACCTTTCCAAAAATAGGTGATATACCCTGATTTGAGGGAGGTTCTGGGTTCCTGAGGACCTCATTGGCTATACCACTGCATTTAGAGGAATTTTAATTAGGAGTGTAAAACTAATTACCTTCAGCTGCCTGCTCTGGAGCTGTAGGTGCTGCTGACAGCAGGGCCCTGACAGATGGGCAGTGGTACAGCAGCCGTTGTGATAGTAAAGGTGATAAAGTTTAGACTATTTTATTCTCTGTTTCTGATTTGCCTCTTTCGGTGTTGTTTTGGATTATCTGCTTCGATACTCTAGCAGATGTGCCAAGCTTGACTTCTAGGGGAGGTTTATCTCCTCCCTTATCCAGGACAGTCTGTTAATGAAGCTGCCAAGGGGGATTCTGGAAGATTTCAGTGAGCTACCGAATGAGGTTTGGTTTATTGGTGTTGCTATTTTTTCATTTAAAGTTTGGCGTGGCATTGGGCATTTTAAGTTCTCCACAGATCTGAGTCTTGGTTTATCTCTGCTTTAGTTTCCTGCCTGTAAAATAGATTAATCACATTTACTCATCTCACAGGAGCATTGTGAAAATGCATACATAAAAAGATTGTCAGATGTTCATATATCATTGAACAAAGAAATATTGGTACCTAAAATAAACATCTGAAAGCCTTCCTGTCCAGAGCAGAGAAATACAAAGAACATTTTTCCATGCTAGCAGCCAGCAAGTAATTTTGAGAGTGAGTAATACTTCCCTTCAGAGACAAGCACCAAGCACATCCACTGAGCTGTAGATTTAACTGAAAATGTGTAGTTATCAAATGTTCTAACAAGTCAGGGGGCCCCTAGGCTGATCTTGCTCATTAATCCTGAATTTGGCATAAAAGGGATCAGAAAATAGCATGTTTGTTTAATTGTTTTTTACTCTGATCCCTTTCAAATCCATCCTTTTCCATTAACAACGGTCTTTAAAGCATTTCTAGCCAGGCAGACACCAGGAATTAATCCCCCCAATAATGCGGTTTTCTGGCACTGCCACGGTGTTGCCAAGTTTCACCATTGCAGACTTGTTCCTAACACTGTGCTCCTAAAGGCAAGTGACTGTGCTCTGTCCTTTGCTTTCCTGTTCTTGTTTTTTCCTTTTTTTTGTTTTAGGATGAAAGTCTGTTCCAAACCCCAACAGTTGTTCATACGCTTCCAGATTTTTCGAGTAAATGCATCGTGCACACTCAAACCCAGAAAATAATTAAAATAGTTTCATTTATTATGTCTCTGTATACATATAATCACCTTAATTCCATGATTTTTGAGCCAATAACTTTTGTTGACCTGATTTCAATTTTAATGGGATTACTGCTCTGACCCTGCATGTTGTCTACAGCTTTACTGCAAATGAAGAAAAGACAAGGATTTTACTCTCATGTGTAGAACAGCACTGCAGAGCCAATTATATGTGTTAAAATCTCTATCTATATTTCTGCAAACTTAAAATGAGAATTTTGTGTCACTAACAATTTATAGAGATTTTTGGGGAAGTGTCTTAGAGCAATGCAAAGGACTTCAAGGTCCTGGAAGTCTGAGTGAGACTTAATTAGGCTGAAAAGCTCTTTGGTGGAGTTGCTCTTATCATGTCTGCATGAGGACTGAGCCAATGACACCATGATAGTACTGTGGCTTTTCAGAAGATCCTTTACTATAAAGCGGAGTTACCTAACTACTTTGGAGGTTTCACCAAGTTCTAGCTTATTTTGAACATTTCTGTGAAGCTACCAGCAACAGCTTGACTCTTCAATGCTCTAAAGACTTGTGGAAAAAGCCATTTACTCTTTCGTTCCCTGCCCAGCTCCTCAATTCCTTTCCAATTCCTCCTGGCAGCAATGAAATCAGAACTCAAGAGAAAGGGTTTAGGCTTGGGGATGTTTTGTACCAAAGTCCTTCCCTACCTTGTCAAGTGAAATAATAAAGTCAAACAAATTACACCTTCTGTTTCAGTCCTCCAGCTGTTTTAGTTAGCAGGAGGCTTGTGTAATTCAGCAAATTCCCACTCTCCTTGCACCCACCAGCTCACACGTAATGGGTTCACTCCACAGGATAGGCTAAACCAAGAGGAACTTTCTCAAGAGAGGTCAGTTGACAGGTGTTACTCTATTTTACTGCAGATATTATCGCATCAGCCCTTCCTCTGCTACTCGAACACAACCGCTCCCTTAAGCAAAGCGATGATCCCAGCCGCAGGTGAGGACGGGCACCCACCACCCCGGGACAAGGAGCTCGTTTGCAGGCTGTGCTGTTGCTTCTCCGAGCATCTCGGCCAGCTGAGGTTATTAAATCCTGCCATTGAAGGCACAGGAAAATGCACCTTTCAGCACGAGGATGGCTCTGACTGCAGAGCGGCACTGTCCTTGAGGACAGCGGAGGGGCCGGGGTTTGAAAAACGCTCTGACCTGATAGTTAACCCAAGCAAGGAACAGTACATGTCATGAAACACTGCCTTTTTTCTTCTTCCTTTGCCAAAAGATTTTTCTTCTAGCTTCTAGTCTAACTTGTGACTTTAAATGAGAATAGAGATGTAATCCTTCAGATTTCCTTAGGATTTTCTTCTTTCAAAGTAAAAATCTAAAAATCCTCACCTTTACAGATTTCAATTCTCACCTTTAGATCCTTTTTTGCTGCCAAGTAAGGAAAAGGAATATTTTTGCACAAAAAGAGCATACCCATAATTTCAATCCCATTTATCAGCAAATGTTCTGTAGCAAGACATACCTATATTGCTTTGTAGCCCCATCAGACAAGGTATTAATAAAAACTACTGTTACACAGGTACTTGTGAAAAGCTTCCAGCAGTCCTCTGCCAGCATTTCACAAGTGGGGATTGTCAGTTCACGTATGGAGTGCCAAATTGAGATACTTAAGGAGTTCTTCCCTTTCCCAAAAATAGCCTTGTTGGGTGTGTGAAACTGGGGTAAGTATCCCAAGTCATTTATCTTCAAAGAGTTTAGCCATTCAACATGAATTTCTATCATCCAGCCCAAGTAAAATAACTTTCCAGTAATTCCTGTGGTTTATGAATTAGGACTGACTTCCTTCCAAACAACACACTAACCGCAGGTCTTCTATCCTGACCACTTTATACCATTATTAAAATTACTTGAAACCTTGGCTTCTTTGACATTGAGGAGAAAATTTATGACAGGGCTGAAGTCTAAAGAAAGTTCATTTGTACATTAGGGAGCAAGTCCCTCCCCAATAAGGGTCTTGCTGGATTTCAGGAGAGACATGGAAAGGTCTTTGAATGCCTGTCATCTTTCAGAATAACAGCATCAATATGCGCGAAGGTTAATGTCTCACAAAGGACTAGGAATCTGCATATTACATTTATCAAAAGATGTGTAAATGAGCCATATAGGAGTCTACTACAATGCCTTGCATAATTTATTCCATGTACAATAAAAAGGTGATCAGATTTCATGCATGTTTACTTTTTGAAAGATAACTGCCTGAGTGTTTGAACTGGCTGTGGAATACAAATACGGTTCAAAGTAATGTGTTTATCTCTCTGACATTTTAATCTTTAAAAGTTTCTTATTCTCATTGTTTTGACAAAGTGATTCTCTTTTGTGAGAATAATCTCTCCCAAACATAAGAGGACTTGCTTTGTTTGAGACATACAATATATCTGAATGTTTATTAGATATGCAGAAGTGAAACAAAAAACCCATAGTAAAAGCATCTATATTTCTGATATTGTTTATTTTCCTTCTAGAACTTTAAAGGATATGAAAATTAATTAAATCTGAAGTTATATGTTGAAGTTTTAGAAACAGAGAAATCCTTGTTTCATAAATAAGTGACAATGTGCAGACCTTCATGCTGCAATCCCTTGCTCTTGGAGCAAGGTCCCTGACAGTATAGGCTGTAAAGTTGGGCCCTTGTACATCCATTTCCTTCCCCACGGTGGTAAATAGCTACTAATGCGAACTATCTCGCATTCATCGTCTTAGACTAAGTATTATCTAAAATAAAAATGTAACTTAAACTTTTTATAATGCAGGATTTCACATTGCTGTGGCATCAGTTAGAGTGTCTGAAGCTTCTACGAGTATCAAAACATTTCTGATTTCAGCAGATGGACATTTTTCCCCGCAATTACAAATTTACCCTTATCTTTACCTTCCACTTGCTAGTTGTTATGTCTTTGTTCTCCAGTGTCTAGCAGGTGCAGGCAAAACTTTTTTTTTTTTTTTAGTTTTCCTTTTTCAGTTACTTTCCACAAAATCGGTTCTCACCACATGAACATCTTCAGATGCTGTATAAGAGGATCGTACCTGGTGTTTCTCAAGCACACATTCATCATCGCTTGAAGACTCTTCCCTGAAACAGATGCAGCAGAGTTTCCCAAATCCTTCATGCTAGAGGGATTGCTGTTGCTGTCGGGAAGCCCGGCGGAGGAACAGACCCCTCTTTGTTTTCAGTTCAGGTGCTGAAAGTTTTTTGGAGCTGCTGTGAAACTCCTTCATTTAACCTCACCGCCCAATTACTTTCAAACTGTGAGATAAAGTTTTCAAGCCTGCTGTATCTAAAGCTCCAGAGAGATACTTTGGCATGCAAAAGCCTCATCCCCAGCATTACGCTGCCCTTCCGAGTCCTTGAGAGCATCGGCCGGCCCGTGTTTCACCCCTTGTTTGTGGTGCTGCTCCCTCGTCCCATGGTTATCAGGTATCTCCCACCGTTCCAGTTTCAAAGGCGCGACCTTATTTCACGCTGAGTAAGATACTCTGAAATGAAGTATCTAATTACAAAGCAAGGAGCTGTATTTTTCAGCCTTAAAACTCCGGTTTTAAATAATTCTTAAATGTCTTTTAGAGAGTCTCCAGAGCACTAGAGTTTTGCAGAACTCTGCAAAAGCTTTTTTCCTTAACATGACTGATAAGTGAGCGTGCATATAATTGACGCAGTGTCCTTACAGTTAGAAAAGATAAGATATACACTTGAGTAAGAAGTAACTTCCCACACAGAGCACATTTTGCAAAATTATTCTTTAATAAAAGAGACTCATGTGTAACAACGCTGCAATAATGTATTCTGTATACTCCTGCATGCTTCCAGGCCAGCTGAATTCTTACAAATTCACAGAACTGTATTAGTAGACATTACTCATGGATTATTTCAATTTACAATAACAAAACCTCTTTTCTTAATTTGCATTATCACTGATAAGTCATCATCTTCAAGAAGCCGTGTCTTTATGCATTGTACCCAAGCAAACAGCTATAGCTTCCACAGATCTAGAGCACCAAGCCCGAATGGATTGCATAGTCAAAGACGGGTCACAGCAAAAAAAGACAAATGAAACCTTGGTTAGTACCGTGTGCTGACAAAGTTGGTTAGTGAAACTTTTTAATTTAGAAGAACCAGGATTTTGCTGCCTGCCGTAGGACATAAACCGTTCCCCACCGTACAGAAGCGCTGCTGTGGCTGAATTCCAGGGAGGATGGTCCAAGGCTTGCAACCATTGGGTCTACAGAGGAGAATGCAGTGCCAAATCCTGGCAGATTCACTTAAGCAGGTGAACTAAAAATAAACAGACATAACATAAAGTGCCTGGTAAAAAAAAAAAAAAAAAAGAAAGAAACAAACAAAAAGCCAGTCCTTTCATTGCAGTGACTCTAGTGAAAGTCAGTGTTTGGCTATCGCTGCCTTCATTAGGTGGAACTGGATTTCTTCAAAGTCAACCAGCACCTCCTCTGTATGGCTCATCTCACTATTCTGTTGCAAGTCTTAGACCATTTCTTTTCAGGAGACATGGGCATAAGGGTACAAGTAGCATTTCTTCATCAGTTCACAAATGCTCACAATTCAAATGTGTCCAGCTAGTATAGGCACATGACTTTAAAAATGTCAATCACTCATGTCAAATACTTTTATGCTACAATATGAATATGTCAGTAATACTTCATTTTTAATTTTAATTTTTTTTTTTTCAGAGAAGAGTCTTCATGAGGAGGAGTGGAATGACCCTAACTAGCAACCATAGAAACCACATAGAGATAATGCTGTCTCAGGAGACAAATTTATTTCTCATCCAAATTTAGATGGCCTATTAAGGTTTGTGGCTTCCTCCTCCAGATTGCTTCAGTGGGAAACCATCCTTGCTAGTTTATATAGAGCTTCCACATAATGTATGAAAGATTACACTGAACATGGATTATATATTAGAAAATAAAATCCTGTTGAAGCAGGATCCCTGAAACACTCGTCTTTTATGTGAAAAAAACCCTGCTACAACAATGTTTTATTCTGGGAGACCAATTGCCTCTGTGTGAGTCATCAGAGGAGTTGAAGTCAGCGAAAACATTTGTGATAATACAATGAAGCAGCAGAACAAGTTTTTCCACAATGAATGTATTCAAAAAAGGCCTGTATACTTACACACAGTACACTCTACACTCTGGCTATATTCACAGTATGCTGCAAGATTTGATGCAGGTGTATGCCTTGCTTTGAGATACATGTTGGGTTATTTCAGGCTATTTTCCATGCTAAAATTGAAAATGACCTAGGAAAAACAAATAAACAGATGAAAAATACAATTTGACAGCAACAAGTCATATGAATGGGGAAATACACTATACCATTCCATAAAAACATTATGTCAGTGGTATCGACCCCCCAGGATTTCTGGGCTGGAACTATTCACAGGGGCAGAGAGAGCTGCCTGGGGCACATTGGAGGAGAGAGGGTCATCTAGTGTGCAATCGGGTTTTGGGACTGTAGCTTTGTATACCTGAGGAAATTTGCTCTTTTTGTCAAAAATTTCAATTTATAAATGTAATTTCTGTAGTGGAATTGTACTTGTGTCTGCTAGGAATGATATAGCCTGTTCCCGAGCTGCCCTTGGATGCAAGTTGGCATATTGATTTATTTCAAAAGGGTGTCCAGGGAAAAGAAAGAGTTTTCCTGTTCCTTGAGAGCTGACCATACTCTTACCCCTCCAGTTTTTACACACTAAATTACCAGGGCTGGCTACTACGTGTGAAACTTTCCTCTCCGTGCGGATGGAAAGGCTTTCCCTGTGAGCTGTGAAATGCAGCATTTTGTTCTGCTCTAATTATGTCCTGGATGTTGGGCGGTGTTTCCAGGCCACGTCCTTATGTTCCTACTGTCTGAGGAAACCAGCCAAGTGCTAACGCTGGATGAAGAGTGGGGAAAAGACCTCCAATCTATGATTTGTTTTGCTTCTTAAATGAAGAGACATATTGCTCTGTTAAAGCACAGCTGTGTGTGAGGGGGCAATGACATTGCAACAGCAGCTTCAAGGGAAAGAGAAGTTTTGATGGTAAAAATCACCACGTATCTCTCACCGAGATAAGGAAGCTCTGGGTAGGGTACGGAGCAGGGCAGGATCACTTTTTCCTCTGCATTTCTCCCTGGGGAAAACTATGGTCTGGCTGAATCAGCAGTTTGGTGCCGCTCGGTCACGTATGGTGAGTCCATTGCCAGGATGGCCAGGGCTGGCCGACGGGCACTGCTTTATTTTCTAGTCCTCCTACACCTGCACTGCACCAGAAAAGTACGTGGTCTCCCAAACCATTCCCTAGCTCACCCTGTGAAAGACAAACATATTCACAAATTTATCTTTCAATGTATAATCAAGGTATATGAGCTCCAGTGACTGGAGATTAATCTAGTCTTTTTCTCTTGCAGTGCAATAGAACTTGCAATAGTTAATATGCATTTAAGCATTTAAATAATGATTTATTTTTAAAAAGCAAAATAACTACAGGTGCTCTATGCCAGATATTTATGCCTCTGAACTCTTAATCTATTTTATAATGAGATTAACATTCGCTGCTCTGAAAGATCTTCCACTGCACATTATGCAGCATTTCTGTGCTTATCTGCAGGGGGCTGTGCGGATCCAATAAAGCATTAAGTGGGAGGAAAATAGATTACTCTGAATTCATGAAGTGATAACTTAGTTTCTTTTGAAATGCTGATGACATGCAGTTTTTTACTTCTAGGTACTTCATGGGCACAGTCAGGTATGTGGCTTCATATAGTTTGTCACCTTCTCAGAAACAGAGTCCCTGAGGCAGAAAATGCAACTAGTAGTAAATGCTTTTTATGATGCCAAAGTCTCTTTCAGCTGTAGATATTTAATTGCTGCCTCAGCCAAAAGTCTCTTCAAGCCTCCCCAAACCCGCCGGGAAACAATGGTGTCTTGTTTTTTTGCAAGAATCATAATGTGAATCGGCACCTCCCGACACCAGGAGGTATTGTTACCAAAACCGAGAGAGACAGAGAGAAGGGATAGATAATGATTTCTGTGAGAGGGCATGAACTATCTCCTCCTTGGCTTGTTGAATTCTGTTCATGATTGAAATCCTGATGCATCAGCTAAGGAAAAGTAATGGCTGCTTCTCAGATAAATAAATTGTGAACAGTTTCAGTGTATATGACTACCATAAAATGAGAGTCACTTCCATGTTTTCCCACTTGTGTTTGCCTTTTAAAGAACAGAAATCTTTTTAAACTTCTAATGCTTTCAGCATTTTGAATGGAAAATGTGGAGATTTTATCCTCTGGAGAGGATCACCTATAAACACTAAAACTACTGAGCACTCTAAAACAAAGAGATAAGAAGAGCTTTGCTCTTGCTTCTTTCACATTAAGCTTCAAGTGAATTCAGCAACAGTCATTATCATATTTAGGAGTTTTTCTGTCCAACCTTTTTGCCTGAAAATACTTTCCTTTTGTATCTCTGACAAGCATTTTTCTTGACAGGCTCTGAAAATCACTTAGAATATTTGGAAACAAAACAAAACAAAACAAAACAAAACAAAAAAACCCACAACCTCTCCTCTTTAGAATCTCTGAAAAAGTTTACTCTTTTTCAAACAATTTACAGCATATTATGAATGTCAGTATGAAAAAATGACTCTGTGTTTTCCCTTGGTGGACAAAGGCAGCTCTGTCGCAAGGGAAAGAGTGAGTTGTGCAGATGGGGTGGCAGAGGACTACTGTTCCTTCACAGAAAGTGGGGTTGGCATCATAGTTCATGCTGTTCTGCTTCTGGTCCCTGGGAAAATGATGACTGCAGAAATTCAGATACAGCTGCTCTCATTAGTATTTGTTTACCCTGAATTAATGTTATGTCGTAGTGTTTTTAGGTTTGGATTTGGGACCTGATAAAACGCGGTGGGGGGAGAAAAGTTAGGCGTTCGGGCTGCCCATTTGCAAAACAACCTTGTTTAACTATCGGAGTTGTTCCCATCACGGTACCTCATAGAATCCCAGAACTGGCCACGGCCCTTTGCATGGTGAAAGCAATAAAATTGCTTTCAAACCAAAGTCGGTTCTAAATTTGGCCTCAAAATTCTTTAGTTGCTGTTAATGAATCAAGAATACTATATGAAGCCACTGTATTTTCTGTGGTTTTAATCAAACTTCTGATTCAAAAAAGGAAGAGGAACTTTTTATTACCATGCATAGATTTA